TTTATTGAAATTCATTGGTTGTTATTGATGTTTCGACTATAATTTAAGGTTCTAATGAAGTTATATAATATAACTTTAGATTTTTAGTCAAAACTTGATGATTCGACGAAGTTCTTTGGATTTGGTGACGTTTCTATGAAGTTCTTTTTGTTACTATTTAATTTTCTTGTTCAAAACTAACGCTGCAGTGAAATTTCTTGAAGTAGATTTGGTTTTTATTGAAGTATATTGGTTATTATTAATATTTCGAACCTTAAAAATTATAAGGTTCTGATGAACTTTCATGAAATAACTTTAAATTTTTAGCCAAAACTTGATGATTCCATGAAGTTTCTGGGATTTGGTGACGTTTCTAAGAAGTTTTTTGTTACTATTTATTTATTGTTATTAAAAATTAACGCTGCAGTGAAATTTCTTGAAGTAGATTTGGTTTTTATTGAAGTTTATTGGTTGTTCTTAATGTTTCGACTATAATTTAAGGTTCTGATGAAGTTTCATGAAATAACTTTAAATTTTTATCCAAAACATGATGATTCGGTGAAGTTTCTTGAAGTAGCTTTCGTTTTTATTGAAATTTATTGGTTGTTATTAATGTTTCGACTATAATTTAAGGTTCCGATGAAGTTATATAACATAACTTTAAATTTTTAGTGAAAACTTGATGATTCGATGAAGTGTCTTGGATTTGGTGACGTTTCTATGCAGTTTTTTTTGTTACTATTTAATTTTCTTGTTCAAAATTAACGCTGCAGTGAAATTTCTTGAAGCAGATTTGGTTTTTATTGAAGTTTATTGGTTGTTATTAATATTTCGACTATAATTTAAGGTTTTGATGAAGTTTCATAAAATATCTTTAAATTTTTAGCCAAAACTTGACGATTCGGTGAAGTTTCTTGGATTTGGTGACATTTCTATGAAGTTTTTTTTGTTACTATTTATTTATTTTTATTAAAAATTATCGCTGTAGTGAAATTTCTTGTAGTAGATTTGGTTTTTATTGAAGTTTATAACTAGTTATTAATGTTTCGACTATAATTTAAGGTTCCGATGAAGTTATATAACTTTAAATTTTTAGTCAAAACTTGATGATTCGATGAAGTTCTTTGGGTTTGGTGACGTTTCTATGAAGTTCTTTTTGTTACTATTTAATTTTCTTGTTCAAAATTAACGCTGCAGTGAAATTTCTTGAAGTAGATTTGGTTTTTATTGAAGTATATTGGTTATTATTAATATTTCGACTATAATTTTTAAGGTTCTGATGAAGTTTCATAAAATAACTTAAAATTTTTAACCAAAACTTGATGATTACATGAAGTTTCTTGGATTTGGTGACGTTTCTAAGAAGTTTTTTGTTACTATTTATTTATTGTTATTAAAAATTATCGCTGTAGTGAAGTTTCTTGTTTTAGATTTGGTTTTTATTGAAGTTTATAGGTTGTTATTAATGTTTCGACTATAATTTAAGGTTCTGATAAAGTTTCATGAAATAACTTTAAATTTGTATCCAAAACATGATGATTCGGTGAAGTTTCTTGAAGTAGATTTCGTTTTTATTGAAGTTTATTGGTTGTTATTGATGTTTCGACTATAATTTAAGGTTCTAATGAAGTTACATAATATAACTTTAAATTTTTAGTGAAAACTTGATGATTCGATGAAGTGTCTTGGGTTTGGTGACGTTTCTATGAAGTTTTTTTTGTTACTATTTAATTTTCTTGTGCAAAATTAACGCTGCAGTGAAATTTCTTGAAGTAGATTTGGTTTTTATTGAAGTATATTGGTTATTATTAATATTTCGACTATAATTTTTAAGGTTCNCGATTTTATCAAAAGCCTTACTATTGTTGAAGTAGATGGAATCCACTTCATAGTAACTATTTAAAGAAGATTGAATACAATCAATATATGCAATTAAGTTGATTCTCCATAGACCTACCGGGTATAAATCCATGTAGGCTTAACTGTGAAATAAACATATTTATAAATGAGTTTTATCGGAAGATAATTGTGCCTATTTCCTATTTTAAAATGGGTACAATAAAGGCTTTCTTTCAAACTGCAGGAAAAATCGCCTCTGCAATAGAACGCAAATATAACAAGATAAGATGAGAAGCTAATTCTTCTGCACAAGCCTTAATAAAACCACATATCAGCCCCAGAAAACCACGGCGGTAAATTACCACCAAAAAGGAATAATCTTTGTGGTCTAGACAGCCGTCAATAAAAACTTTACTGAAGAAAATAGAGAAGTCCGCCATTACAGGGCCATTCATTGCCGTCGCTTGGCCAAGGCGTAACTGGNTCAAAATTAACGCTGCAGTGAAATTTCTTGAAGTAGATTTGGTTTTTATTGAAGTATATTGGTTATTATTAATATTTCGACTATAATTTTTAAGGTTCTGATGAAGTTTCATAAAATAACTTTAAATTTTTAGCCAAACCTTGATGATTCGGTGAAGTTTCTTGGATTTGGTGATGTTTCTATGAAGTTTTTTGCTACTATTTAATTATTGTTATTAAAAATTATCGTTGTAGTGAAGTTTCTTGTAGTAGATTTGGTTTTTATTGAAGTTTATAGGTAGTTATTAATGTTTCGACTATAATTTAAGGTTCTGATGAAGTTTCATGAAATAACTTTAACTTTTTATCCAAAACATGATGATTTGGTGAAGTTTCTTGAAGTAGCTTTCGTTTTTATTGAAATTTGTTGGTTGTTATTGATGTTTCGACTATAATTTAAGGTTCTAATGAAGTTATATAATATGACTTTAAATTTTCAGTCAAAACTTGCTAATTCGATAAAGTTTCTTGGATTTGGTGTCGTTTCTATGAAGTTCTTTTTGTTACTATTTAATTTTCTTGTTCAAAATTAACGCTGCAGTGAAATTTCTTGAAATAGATTTGGTTTTTATTGAAGTTTATTGGCTATTATTAAAATTTCGACTATAATTTAAGGTTTTGATGAAGTTTCATAAAATATCGTTAAATTTTTAGCCAAAACTTGACGATTCGGTGAAGTTTCTTGGATTTGGTGAAACTTCTACGATGCTTTTTTGTTACTATTTAATTTTTATTAATTAATATGAAATAATTAATTAATATAAACATAATATTAAAATGTTGTGACCGATTTTATCAAAAGCCTTACTGTTGTTGAAGTAGATGGAATCCACTTCATAGTAATTATTTAAAGAAGATTGAATACAATCAATATATGCAATTAAGTTGATTCTCCATAGACCTACCGGGCATAAATCCATGTAGGCTTAACTGTGAAATAATAGTATATTATTATATGAGCATATAATATTATATGCGAGTAGAATACTATACTTTGTCCACGACTATTGAAATTGATTCCATAAATTTATTTTTTAAATAAATTTTTGAATAAAGGTTAAACGTCAATGTGACACAAATTCAATGTTACTAACTGTATCCAACTTCACAACAATTTGTCAAAATTATATGTCAGTTTTATAAAACGTCGTTTTCTTTAGGAAAATTAATTAATTTATGCTTAAATCATACGAAAAAAGGAATTTGTTTAGGTTTTTTTAATGTCAAACATTTAGAAACTCCTAAAAAATTGAATTAAATTGACGTTTTTTGAACTTTTAACGTTTCAATTAATTATTATTAGTCTGGTTAAGATGGCTACCCGTGGATAATGGTTATTATTCACCGCTATTATTCACTCCGTGAAAAATGACTACCATTTTGTTTTAGATAACTCATTCATAAGGTATATATTATAAGGTACTCGTGGACAAACATATTTATAAATGAGTTTTTCAAAAATTTTTGAAAAAAATAGATAAAATCGATATCGGACGATAATTGTTAACGAAATGCCTATTTCCGGATTTCAAAATGGGTACAATAATGGCTTTCTTTCAAACTGTAGGAAAAATCGTCTTTGCAATAGAACGCAAATATAAAAAGAAAAGAGGAGAAGCTAATTCTTCTACACAAGCCTTAATAAAACCACATATCAGCCTCAGAAAACCAGGGCGGTAAATTACCACCAATAAAAGAATGATCTTTATGGTCTAGCTAGACAGCCGTCAATAAAAACTTTACTAAAGAAAATAGAGAAGTCTGCCACTACAGGGCCATTCATTGCCGTCGCTTGGCCAAGGCGTAACTGGAATTTCACAATTATTAACCTTTTTTCTATCAGTGAATGACCATAGCAGTTTAGGATTGTCAATAACATTACTTTGTATTCGGTTCAGGTACTTGTGGTAATCGGACGCAATACGATTTTTAGATCTTTTGCGCAATAAAGAAAAACATAAGCAGTCGTCCTGGTTACCATGTTTCTTCTATTTTCTATGATAATTAAGCTTTTCCTTAAAAAGTTGACTGCCACAGCTATTTTTATTGCTTTGCCAAAATTATTTTGTGGTACACGTTTCAATTTCTTTTTTGAATTAATGAGTCCCATTGTAAGTACTTAACCGAAAACACTTAAAATATGTCACGCTCCTAGAAAGGTATACATACAATAATTTTTATATGGTGAAATGAATTCTGTGGTCTCACCAACTATTCTGGTGAGTTCAGCAACTGGCACCAACAGATTATTAAGAAATATGTTTCTCCCACTGTATAGGGTGGGCAAATTTGGGTGTTATAGGTTATCTCAGAAACTATAAGAGATACGAAAAAAGTAGGCACCATATCCCGGCCTGTTTTTGCGACGGTTAAACCCGAATATTTCTAATTCTAACTCTAGTGTTAGTTCTACTTTTAGTTCAATGAAAATATACCACAATCTAACGCTGAGTACCAAATTAAAACCAGAATTAACTCTTTAGACGCACGACTAAACCAACAGCTTTCTAGTTCTAGGTCTAGTGTTAGTTCTAGTTTTAGATCAATAAAAATATACAACAATCTAGCGCTGAATAGAGTAGAACTAATAATCTGCGCGCATGTATTAAAAAGTTAATACAATAATAAATAATTTTATTACAAAAAATATTTCTTTTTAGATTTTAAACAACATGGGTGTTTGTTTATTATATGGTGGTGATTTGAAAGAAGCGATAGCTGTTCTTGAATCAGCAATCCAACAAAATCCGATTCAAGGTCTTCAAGAATCACTATTATTAAATCTTTGTACCTTGTACGACATGGAATCGTCGAAAGGGAGACGTAAAAAATTCGCGTTGCTTCGTCAGTTATCTAGATATCAAGCGGATGCACCTACTGCCATTTTAGAAAAGTTATACGGTTGATTGAAACTGCCGAAACACTTTGTTGGGATTTGATCGATAAGTAAACGTTAATTGAAACGTAATTGAAATAAAAAAAAATTGGAAAAATGATTCACGAGTAAAAACGAATCTAATGGAATTGATTCCTTTTTAAAAACTCTGTCTTATCTTTAAGACCAGCACTACAAACAATTTATATGAAGCAATAAATAAATACTTTCGTGATTTTGATCACTATCACATGAGCAACTTCAAAAGATTGTTTTTTAATGGTAGATCTAGTCTTATTGTTATTGATCAAAAAAAATTTTTAAATTGTAGTATATTGTTGTCTTTTTTGTTAAATAGCTTTTAAAAACAATCTTAAAGTTTTTCGGTTATTAGTTTTATTAACACAGACCAAAACTGTTTATTTTTGCAAAAAAAGTTAGAATAGAACATTATTGGTTAGATTAGAATAATGAAAAAATCACTTAAAAATATTTTTGTTATTTGTAATGTTAAAATTCAATCTTCCAGGATTATTATATTTTTCCAGGATTATATTTTCTTTGTTAGAGTTAAAAAACGTTTAAATGTGGGCACTAAAAAAAGTCGCAAATAATAACAGTATTAAAGAATACAAAAGAAAACGCACCCTAAAATAAGAAAAAAATATTTTGTAACCTTAATGATTACATTTTTTATGGTTATTCTTAATTATTTATTATTTAAATAAAATATTATTATTGTAAGAATTGTTTCTTTTTATTATTATGAATTAAAATGATTAAAAACGGGTTTTACTTAAGAAAAAAATAGTCATATTTCTTTTGCTAGCTGAATATTAGACTGTTTAAACAACTCCCTTACTACCAATTTTCAATAGAATAGCTGTCAATATTTAGGAAGATTGATAGAATTTTTGATAACTTCTCTGGTTTAGTCCACTGGAGAGGACTGAACTCCACTCTGGATTTCGAAGCCCAACCCAAGATCAATCTCACTTTCTACAATCAACTAGACCGACTCTCCCAATTGATCCAGGACTGACCGCTTCCAACCTCTTCAAAACTCAATTCAACTCCAAGACTCTAACTTATGAACGGCTCACTCTTCTTCTAGATCTGGAAGTTTCTCCCATCACTGGAACTCTGAACTCCGTCTCGGACTGCAAGACTAACTGACTCTTTCCAAAACTCAACTCGCTGAACTCTGTTTCGGACTCCAAGACTCAACTCACTTTCTTTTCCCGTTTGAGATTTTTAAACCCTTTTGTTCCGAGCGCTCTTAACCTAAACAATCGTTTCTAGTGATGGAACGGATAGTGATTTTGCGAAAAGCCGGATACCGGATATTCGGCATCCCCTTCGGCCGGATATCCGGCATATCTATCCGGCCATTATGGTTATAATTTCTGAAATGATATCCTATATTGTCACATTATTCCAATATTTGAATTAAAATTAAATTAACAAGAAAGCCGATAAGATATGTTAACTTATATGGATCCAAGATACAAAATAAACTTTTTTGATGGTGATTTAATTAACGAAGCAACTCTAAAAAGAGGATACTTTAATTAATAATTGGCGATATTTCGACAAGGATCCTTCAAGAAATGAATTTTATAGCGAATTTTGAAACTTATCAATGAAAATTGGAACATTGAAAATTGTATCAAAACTTCAAATATTGTTTTCTCAAAAAATAAAATTTATTTTTCAAAACGGGTTGCTTCATTGGAAAGAGGACACTTTTAATAATACATTGGGAAATTTTCATACTCCTATTCCAAGAAATCGATTTTATACGAATTTTTAAAACATAATCGGCTAAAATTGTATAATTCGAAAAAATTGTCGATCATTTCAAAAATTTATTTCTCAAAAACTGAAGGCGATTTTTCAAAGCGGCTTGTTGTATTAAAAAGAGGATACTTTAATTAATAATTGGTGATATTTCCACAAGGATCCTTCAAAAAAAATAATTTTATAGCGACTTTTGAAAGTTATCGATGAAAACTGCAACATCGAATATTTTATAAAAACTTCAAATATTGTTTTCTCAAAAACTAAAAGTAATTTTTCAAAACGTGTTGGTTCATTGGAAAGAGGACACTTTTAATAACACTTTGGTAAATTTTCATACTCCTATTCCAAGAAATCGATTTTATACGAATTTTTAAAACATAATCGACGAAAATTGCAAAATTCGAAAAAATTGTCGATCATTTCAAAAATTTATTTCTCAAAAACTAAAAGTGATTTTTCAAAACGGCTGTTTACATCAAAAAGCGGATATTCTAATTAATAATAGGTGATATTTNGTTCATTCTCCTATTCCAAGAAATCGATTTTATACGAATTTTTAAAACATAATCGACGAAAATTGCAAAATTCGAAAAAATTGTCGATCATTTCAAAAATTTATTTCTCAAAAACTAAAAGCGATTTTTCAAAACGGCTTCTTGCATTAAAAAGAGGATACTTTAATTAATAATTGCTGATATTTCCACAAGGATCCTTCAACAAATGAATTTTATAGCGAATTTTGAAAATTATCGATGAAAATTACAATATCGAAAATTTTATCAAAACTTCAAATATTGTTTTTTCCAAAACTAAAAGTAATTTTTCAAAACGTGATGGTTCATTGGAAAGAGGACACTTTTATTAACATTTTGGGATATTTTCAAAGTCATATTCCAAGAAATCGATTTTATACGAATTTTTAAAACATAATCGGCGAAAATTGCAAAATTCGAGAAAATTATCGATTATTTCAAAAATTTATTTCTCAAAAACTAAAAGCGACTTTTCAAAACGGCTTATTGCATTAAAAAGAGGATACTTTAATTAATAATTGGTGATATTTTTACAAGGATCCTTCAAGAAATGAATTTTATAGCGAATTTTGAAAACAGTCAAAGTATGGCTTTGTTTATGATCGATCGACATAAATCTGCTTTACTTCTGCTAGTTGTTACGGAAAATTCCGTGGAATGTGGTTTCGGGATAAGGTGGAAGAATTAAATGTTAAAATTCCAAAGGAAAACTGGTTTATTAACCAAACTCTGAATAAAATGTAAAAATTAACAATTAATTGAAAATACAAACTTAATTATGACAAACCTTAGCACAAGGACAAACAGCTTACAAAAAAAGTTCCCAAGAGGTCACTCGAATCTGGTGTCACAAACCAATGTGGAAAACGAAATCAAAACCAGACTCGAAGGACCCTCACACATTCACATCCCCACCTCGCACGTGTTAAACACAAACTACCTTAAATTCAAATAAATGATAAATATTATGTTTCATAGTCAAAGAAAACATTTTCACTCAATCTTTTTTTGATAACAACAAACTTAACTTAGCTTAAATTCATAGCTAGAGAAGACATCTATCTTTATATGATCATTCCCCACAAACTTTGAGTTGTCTCTCAATTAATGTCATAAATTTGTTGCCACAATGGGGCATTCTCTCATTTATCTGCCAACATGGCACATCTATCCCTAATTTCCCTCAATTCATTTTGTGTTACAACTTCTATTATAATACTTCTAGAGATTATGGCACAACTAAACATCTACACAATAATTGTTTAGACATTCATTTTTAAGTAAATTCCCTTGGATATCATTGTATTTAATTCTGAAGGTGTTAATATAGTTCAATTCAATATCATTAAATCATTTAATAAACTAAGAATAAAACTTTATGTATTACTTGATTATTTATTTAAATAAAGCAAATCTACAATATTAACTTCTTTTTTAATGGTGTGGAACTACCGAAGCTTTTCCATATTTCTTTTCATACTCCCTGATAAATTCTTTCTTCCTCAACTCTCGTTTTGCAAAGTATTCAGGATACTGAGCTTTTTCTAATGGATGCCAATGATCTATTATCCAATCAGGAGGGATAACTTCTCTTTGATAAGCAACACCACCAGGAGATAATGGAACTAAAACGTTAAACATCACATAAAAGAAATATTACTAAATATCTATATCGTTTACATTTCTTTGGTAACCAATGCGCTTTTTGGAACAATTCCTCCTCACCCAACTCTACAATGCTATTAGCAACTCGCATATCTTTCACATTGCGGTTCTCCTCAAATCTTTGTCGCATTAATACTGCTTGATACCGGAAAACTTCTCTAAAAATTATTATTAACAAGTTAATTATGGTGTAAAGGTTATGTAATGCAATATTGAAATTTTAAGCTATTTACCGCCGATCATACCAATCTTCTAAAGACCTCAAAGCTTTTTTATATAGACTTTGAACGCGTCTTGTATGCGAAACGATTCCAGTAGGCAAATTTGCCATTTTATAAGAAAAAATCGAGTTATCAGGTTGTTTTTCTTATAAGACACACATCGACTGATTAATCGATATAGGCAACCTATTTTACAGTATATAATAACATCAAAATATTAATTTTATTGAAATTTATTCATAACATATTAAAATTATTTTATTAAATACATTTAAACCATGTTAAATAGAAAAATTATAAAATATTTTAACAAATAAAAAAATTTTGAAGAAATCTGTATTACCAACATCTCTTCCCGCTACATTTCAATTTATTAATAATTAATAATGTTTTATTTTAAAAATTATTTTAATCTTATTTTCTTTTTCTAATACATTAACACATCGATAATTATAGATTATAACGAACCCCGCTCAGTAAATGTTATCGAAAGGTCAAAAAAACATGTCGTTTTCGTTTTGTTTATTAAGATCGTTGGTATCACTGTTTTATTTCTGATGTCTATCTGTCATCTTGACAATTCGCAGAGTAATCTGGTTTTATGCCAGTAATGGACTGAAATTAACCGACGTTAATGTTAAATAACATGTGATTTGTGCATTTTTTCTACTAATATAAACCGCGGGGAACAAATTTAACTGGTTTTTATACCATGACGACTGAAGAAAAATTTAACGCCGCCGTAAACGTTATTAAAAGTTTACCAAAAAACGGTGATTACCTAATTGTTTAAGTGTTATTCATTTAAAATGATTTATAATTTTTTTATTTTAGGTTCATATCAACCAAGTCATGATTTAATGTTGAGATTCTACTCGTATTATAAACAGGCAACATTGGGGCCATGTACGGGTGGAAGACCTGCATTTTGGGACGTTGTAGGCCGAGCTAAATATGATGCTTGGAAAGCTTTAGGAGATTTGCCAAAAACCGATGCCATGAAACGTTATGTGGATGAATTACATTCGTATGTTATTATCTTTATAAATTATCATAAACATTTTTATCTAATTTTTTATTTTTATGTATAGCATTGTAGAGACCATGAGTTATTCTGATAAGGTTGCTAGCTTTTTAAATGCCCCTAGCAGTAATATCGCTGACCTAGAATTGATAGCTGGAGATGTTATACAAAGAGTTCGATCAAGATCAAATTCACCACAAGGTGAGGTTAAAAAAATTTTATGTTTGTTTATTTAGAAGTTTAAAATTGCTAAGTCATTGAATTTAATACATAAAATGAGTTTAATGTTTGTATACAAACAAGGTTTTTATCTTGCCTTGTATTTAATTGTTGATGTGGAATAAAAAACTTTTTTTTTTTACTAATAGGAAGGTAAGTAATTTCTTATGTAATTGGATAACATGGTTATTAAAGCACTTAAAATGCTGCTTTTTAGCATTAGTTAAATTTGTTTAAATTTACATTCTAAGGTATCTTTAAAGATGTTTATAAAGGTTTTAAAAAAGTTGTTATATTGTTTTTATAGAAGACAAAAAATAATTTACATTTTAAAATTCAATTTATTTGCGAATTTATAATTATAACATTTACTACTATATCTTATTGTTAGTGAAATTGTGAACATTGAAGACACCAAGGTTAAAGAATGTTATAGATTTTTTTGTAAAACATTTACTCCCTCTGCCGCAAATTATGGTATACATTTCTCTAAAATTTATGGATTAAGGAAAGTTTGGAGAATTAACGAGTTTCTATCTATTTAATATAATGTAATCTTAATTTAATTAATAAAAGAAACTAAAGTTCTATTTGTCGAAAGTTAAATCAAATCAATCTTTTGAGGATATGTACGACTCAACGCAAGTTAAAAGGTCATACTACATGACGCTGGACGAAGCAGAACCAGAAAAGCGCTGTAAAAGCAAACGGTTCATAACTAAAGTTATGTTTATTTCTGCAGTGGCTAGACCATGCTATCACAGTGCTAAAAAACAGTATTTCAACGGCAAAATAGGACTCTAGCCTTTTGTTTATAAAGAACCTGCAAAAAGAAACAGCAAGAACCGGGTAGGAGGAATAATGGTGACCAAAAACATCGAGTCTATTAATGTAGCAGAATGCAAAAAGATGATTATCAATAACATTGTACCAGCCATTAGATCCAAGTTGATTGGTTCCAAGTTGATAATGATTATAATGGATCAAGATAACATAATTCATAAGCAATATCACCATAGTTATCTCAATTTCTTATGCACAAGCCAGGAAATCCCACAATATCAAAATTGACAATCATCTACATTAAATTCTGTTATGACTAAAAAAACTAAAGGTGATAGAGAAAAACGTTTCCTATTAAAATTGATGTTAAGGATCAAGATAACATAATTCATAACCAATGCCACCATAGCTAACACCATTTCTTATGTACAAACCAGGAAATCCCAAAATATCAAAATTGAAAATCATCTACATTAAATTCTGTTATGATTAAAAAACTGAAAGTCACAGAGAAAACCATTTTCCTTAAAAATTGATGATAATGAATCAAGATAACATAATCCATAGTCAATGCCACCATAGATATCACCATTTCTTAGGTTCAAGCCAGGAATTCTCAAAATATCGAAATTGACAATCATCTGTGTTAAATTCTATTATAACTAGAAAATTAAAGGTGATACAGAAAAACGTTTCCCATAATAATTAATGATAATGAATCAAGATAACATAATCCATAATCAATGCCATCATAGATATCACCATTTCTTAGGTTCAAGCAAGGAATTCTCAAAATATCAAAATTGACAATCATCTGTGTTAAATTCTGTTATAACTAGAAAATTAAAGGTGATAGAGAAAAACGTTTTTCATAAAAATTGATGATAATGAATCAAGATAACATAATTCATAACCAATGCCACCATAGATATTACCATTTCTTAGGTTCAAGATAGGAATTCTCAAAATATCGAAATTGACAATCATCTGCGTTACATTCTGTTATAAGTAGAAAATTAACGGTGATAGAGAAAAACGTTTCCCATAAAAATTGATGATAATGAATCAAGATAACATAATCCATAGTCAATGCCACTATAGATATCACCATTTCGTAGGTTCAAGCCAGTAATTCTCAAAATATCGAAATTGACAATCATCTGCGTTAAATTCTTTTATAAGTATAAAATTAAAGGTGATAGAAAAAAACGTTTCCCATAAAAATTGATGATAATGAATCAAGATAACATAACCGTAGTCAATGCCTTCATAGATAGCACCATTTCTTATTCTCAAACCAGGAATTCTCAAAATTGACAATCATCTTCGTTAAGTTCTGTTATAAGTAGAAAATTAAAGGTGATAGAGAAAAACGTTTCCCATAAAGATTGATGATAATGAATCAAGATAACATAATTTGTAACCAATGCCACCATAGATATCACCATTTCTTAGGCTCAAGCCAGGAATTCTTAAAATATCGAAATTGACAATCATCTGCGTTAAATTCTTTTATAAGTAGAAAATTAAAGGTGATAGAGAAAAACGTTTCACATAAAAATTAATGATAATGAATCAAGATAACATAATTCATAATCAATGCTATCATAGATATCACCATTTCTTAGGCTCAAGCCAGGAATTCTCAAAATATCAAAATTGAGAATCATCTGCGTTAAATTCTGTTATAAGTAGAAAATTAAAGGTGATAGAGAAAAACGTTTCCCATAAAAAATAATGATAATGAATCAAGATAACATAATTCATAACCAATGTTGCCATAGTTATCACCACTTCTTAGGCTCAAGCCAGAAATTCTCAAAATATCAAAATTGACAATCATCTGCATTAAATTCTTTTATAAGTAGAAAATTAAAGGTGATAGAGAAAAACGTTTCCCATAAAAATTGATGATAATGAATCAAGATAACATAATCCATAGTCAATGCCGCCATAGATATCACCATTTCTTAGGTTCAAGACTGGAATTCTCAAAATATCGAAATTGACAATCATATGCGTTAAATTCTGTTATAAGTAGAAAATTAAAGGTGATAGAGAAAAACATTTTCCATAAAAATTAATGATAATGAATCAAGATAACATAATTCATAATCAATGCTACCATAGATATCACTATTTCTTAGGATCAAGCCAGGAATTATCAAAATTGAGAATCATCTGCGTTAAATTCTGTTATAAGTAGAAAATTAAAGGTGATAGAGAAAAACGTTTCCCATAGAAATTAATGATAATGAATCAAGATAACATAATCCATAGTCAATGCCACCATAGATATCACCATTTCTTAGGCTCAAGCCAGGAATTCTTAAAATATCAAAATTGACAATGATTTGCGTTCAATTCTGTTATAAGTAGAAAATTAAAGGTGATAGAGAAAAACGTTTCCCATAAAAATAATGATAATGAATCAAGATAACATAATTCATAACCAATGTTGCCATAGTTATCACCACTTCTTAGGCTCAAGTTAGAAATTCTCAAAATATCAAAATTGACAATCATCTGCGTTAACTTCTGTTATAAGTAAAAAATTAAAGGTGATAGAGAAAAACGTTTCCCATAAAAATTAATGATAATGAATCACGATAACATAATCCATAGTCAATGCCGCCATACATATCACCATTTCTTAGGTTCAAGCCAGGAATTCTCAAAATATCGAAATTGACAATCATCTGCGTTAAATTCTGTTATAAGTAGAAAATTAAAGGTGATAGAGAAAAACGTTTCCCATAAAAATTAATGATAATGAGTCAAAATAACATAATCCATAGTCAGTGCCACCATAGATATCACCATTTCTTAGGTTCAAGCCAGGAATTCTCAAAATATCGAAATTGACAATCATCTGCGTTAAATTCTGTTATAAGTAGAAAATTAAAGGTTCTAGAGAAAAACGTTTCCTATAAAAATCAATGATAATGAATCAAGATAACATAATTCATAATCAATGCTACCATAGATATCACTATTTCTTAGCATCAAGCTAGGAATTCTCAAAATATCGAAATTGACAATCATCTGCGTTAAATTCTGTTATAAGTAGAAAATTAAAGGTGATAGAGAAAAACGTTACCCATAAAAATTAATGATAATGAATCAAGATAACATAATCCATAGTCAATGCCACCATAGATATCACCATTTCTTAGGTTCAAGCTAGGAATTCTCAAAATATCGAAATTGATAATCATCTGCGTTAAATTCTTTTATAAGTAGAAAATTAAAGGTGATAGAAAAAAACATTTCCCATAAAAATTAATGATAATGAATCAAGATAACATAATTCATAACCAATGTTGCCGTAGAAATCACCACTTCTTACACTTAAGCCAGAAATTCTCAAAATATCGCGAAAAAAGCAAACATCGCCAAAAACTATGAATGAATTAGTAGATTGTATTAAAAGTGCCTATAGTTCATTTTTTTTCTATAATACCTGTCAAATTGTTGTAAAGTTGGCAAAACTAACAGGGAGTTTTGTTATATGACGTTTTGAAATAAATATGTCACACTGACGTTTATTTGACTCTGCTGACGTTTAAGCTTTCGTTATTCAAAAAGAAAACGTGCATAAAAAAATGTGGGGTGTGTATTTGGCATTTATTTACCTACAAAACGTGTTTTGTTCTATTTAATTACTATGTAGCACGTTTTTACAATAAATATGTACTTGGTTAAAATCGTATTTATCTAAAAATTTATTAGTATTTTAACCTCAATTATTTAGTTACTGAAAATGTTACTAAAAATCAGGAAAACAACATAAATTTTATAAGGGTCCTAGATAATACCAACAGAAACNAAAAAATCACAAGGAGCCAAATCGGGAGACCGGACCGGCCACTCCAAATCGCCCCTTATTGAGATTAGGCGTTTTGGGAAGTGTTCCCTTAAAACACCCATCATGCTCTTGAAGTTTGAGCCGTTGCACCGTCTTGTTGGAACCAAATGTCCCCTAAGTCCAACTTATCTAGCCGTGGTGATCGCAACACTAAAGCTCTTACTGCCTCAATGTTCTCAGGTGTTCTAATGGGCCGAGGGACTCTAGTTCTTCGTCTTGTCGCACTTGCAGTTTGTCTGATCGTAGTGACCCACGTAACAATTGATTTCCGATTCAGAACAGGGGCTAAATTAAAGTGATTCCGAAAAGCGCACTAGGTTGCGATCACAGAATATCCGCTCGAAGAGTAGGCCTCAACGGGAAACGCACGCTCTTCACTGATCTAACACATGATGGCGCCTGAACTTTGTCGGAACAAAACTTTATAGTCCACCCTCTCGAACGAGACCACTAGCGCTCCGCTACGACATCAACCGACTAAATGGCGCACATTTCGAAAAAGGAAGTTATGTTGTCGCACCCTGTACAAGACAGAAGCAGTTGTTTAATTGAAAATAAGTGAATAGATGTTATTAATACTTTAATATGCTACGATGATGATGAACGTTAATTTATACGACTTCTACGCAACTATGTTATGTATGCAGTACGACAAGAAAAAAATTTAATAAATTTAAAAAGATGCCTAACGAAACATTAGGAAATATATAAAAAGCTACAAACTGTACAAATCGCTAGTAATGATATTGTTGAAAGGGTGGCAGGTGATGAATATAATTTGATTTGAATAAAAATTCTCTAATTTATTCAAATGTACTAACTACTATGTATAGTTCATTTTTTTTCTATAATACCTGTCAAATTGTTGTAAAGTTGGCAAAACTAACAGGGAGTTTTGTTATATGATGTTTTGAAATAAATATGTCACACTGACGTTTATTTGACTCTGCTGACGTTTAAGCTTTCGTTATTCAAAAAGAAAACGTGCATAAAAAAATGTTGTGGGGTGTGTATTTGGCATTTATTTACCTACAAAACGTGTTTTGTTCTATTTAATTACTATGTAGCACGTTTTTACAATAAATATATATGTACTTGGTTAAAATCGTATTTATCTAAAAATTTATTAATATTTTAACCTCAATTATTTAGTTACTGAAAATATTACTAAAAATCAGGAAAACAACATAAATTTTATAAGGGTCCTAGATAATACCAACAGAAACCCTAAAAAATTTACATTGACAAGTATTATAGAAAAAAAAACGAACTATACGACGCATTAACTAAAGAAAAGTTAGATAACGTATTCTCGACACTACAAAAGTGCATGGAGTTAACCATGATGGCCTCAGCAGGCAACAGCTATAAAATTGAATAAATTTGAATCTGAGCATGCTACAGAAAAACTTTTCGAACGAAAGTTGTAGCAAATTGTATTCTTAACCAAATTGCTCTCTTGTGCTTTTGCTCTCACAATCAGACGCATAGATGTCGAGAAAAATATGAAAATTCATGAATAAAGAAAAGCTTCGCCATAAAGGGCGTTAACATTGAACCAGTTGAACTGTGTTTAAATGTGTAAAATTTTCATTAATGTATGTTTAAATTAAGTTACAAATTAAATTACTAATTTTACAAATACAATAAAGCAAGTTTTGTATACCATAATTTGAGACAAATTGTAAAGGGAAATATATACCATAATTTGGAATAGAGGGAGTACTTATTATGTGAATACTGAATGGAACAATGCAACATTATATTCAGAATGACCTAGGACCCAGATCAGTGAAACTCTCTGTCTGAAACTCACTGTCTGAAAAAAATCGTACTGTCATGTTCTTCACCCTTCTCCCAAGTAGGATTTTAGCACCCATGTCAATAGCAAATACTTCCGCCTGGAATACAGTACATTACGTACCCAGGCTATAAGCTTGCTTAATCCAAAGTGTCAGGCAGTATACTCCTGCCCCAACCCCTTCCGGCGTTTTTGAGCCATCTGTGAGCATGTAAATGTCTGCTTGAATTAGAGAATTTTCGTTTTCGATCCAGAACTGCCGTTCAGGCAGTACAATCTGGTATCGAGCATTAATTACTGTAGTGATCCCGTCAAATGTGACAGCACAATATCAGTGCTTATAGTGACTTCTGCAGCCCATTGGCAAGACATGTCGGAGCAGTTTTGAGTATATTGTTTAAACCTGTAAGTGGTAGTTCTAGCCACTTTCTCTATATGCAAATGCAAAGGAGATACGCCAAACAGAACATCCATTGCTAGAGAATCCAGGTACTTGTTGAATTCGTGAAAGTTTACTGATAACCTAAGTCTGTCGGGCTTTCCTATACCATTAATCTTGCGATCTTTGATTCGAGGTTCATCGTAATAGTCGAAAGAAAAAATTTGAAAAAACGATGAAAATATATTTATTAAAAAATATTTAAAATCAGTGCTACTAGTTTCGGGAGTAACTTCTCCCTTCTTCTGGCACGACTGAAATGTACAAATTATTTGTTATTATTAAAATTAACTAGATAATAGGAAGTTAATAGTTACCGTCAAATTACGAGATTTTAATCTTAGAGTAGAATTCAATTAACATCTTAAACGATCCACGAGAAAAAGTATAGAAAATACGACACATTGAACAACCTCTAAAGTTTAAATTCCAAATTATTAACAAAGTTAAAAGCCTGATGGGCAAGATATAATAAAAGAATTTAAGAATTAAATTTTAAAACATGATTTTCATCGTTAAGAAAAATCAAAAAAGTGTGAACGTTCTAAAATTAAAGCTGAAAAAATAAGACTATAAGAATTTATAAGGGAAGCTTAGAAAAAGTTAACTTACTAATATAAAATTCTGTTTTAAATTAAAAAACTAAAAAATTATTGAGAGTCCATCTGAAAAAAAAATTTTTTTCTTTTCCTATACCAGTCTGCCGCTCGGTATGTGATCATTCATCTAACCACAAGTACATAGAGCCAGTACAGTATTTGAGAGGTCCACAAAGATAATCTAGCTTTGTGTAAAACTCCCTACAAATGTCAATTCAATGAGAGGGTTTTGTCTAAGATTACTCCTAGATATTTATCCTTTGAGAAAGAAATTTCTTCACCATGGATAGTTGGGCGGATTAGTCCACCCAACTTGTAGATAGTGGCAGAAGTGAATTAGTCAATAGCTATTTAATATCCGTTCACATATACACTTGATAGTTAAAGCAATTTATGTATTTTTTGACAATTTCCGAGTTCTATTACAAAATATAAAACAGGATTTACAGTTTATTTTCAATATAAGAAATTCACATTGTGCTAGGTGTTAATATTAAGGTTGATTATAAAATTTGAAATCCTTAACAATAATGAAACTTGTAATATTGTAGAGAATTGTTTAATTGCATACGAAATATATTATATAAATTCAATATATTTTCAATAATTACATTCTATTTTATTTTTAGATTCTCCAAATCCATCCCCAGTAGAAATGAACGGACACAATGATAGTTGGAGTGAATCTCCATTTCCTTCAGAATCCGATACAGATCATAGTGATGGAGATTACCTGGATACTATAGAGGTAAAATTTTCAATAAATCATAATCAAATTTTTAAAAATACAATTTATTGTATTCATTTTAGGCTCCAGAACCAAGAAAACTCATTCCAAATGGTCACCACATTCCATTAACTAACGGTTACCCACAAAATAAAGATCACTCAAAACCAAAAAAGCAACGCAAGCCATCTGTGGACATATCTCAGGAAATAGCGAAAGCTGTACAAAGTTTGAAATCTGATATTGAAGCTTTAAAAGGAAAAGTGATGGCTGTTGAAACGGCTCAAACGGCCGCTATGGTTTCTGCAACTAAAAGAAAAAATTGGTGGCAAGAAGTTAGTCCGCAGCTACTAACTTTTATTATAATCTGGCCGTTTGTGGCCAGTTTAATGTTAAGTAGATTTTTAGTTAAGAGGAGTACCTAAGATTGATAACTAAAAAAGATTTTATCTCGTAAAAAAAGGTCATGTGTTCACAATTTGTTATAATTATTTTTTGATTTAGATCTAAATAAGAAATAATTATTAATGAATTGTAGGTGTGTTTGTCGTGAGTTAATTGCTGGTCAAAAATCTATTTTAATTCCTTATTTTAACCTTTAATGATGTCACAAAAAATATTCTTAGTAATCTTTATGTGAAAATGGTGAATGTACAATTTTATTTTTAATGTGTTAATTTTTATTTTATAATTGTTATGTATATATGTAGAGTTTTATATTTTATGTGGTTTGGATAATAAAATCTTTTTATCGATTTTAATTAATTTAAATCCTCTAACCTAACTTTTTATTAAATTGACATTAATCATATAACGTCAATAAAGCTTTTGTTGCTAACTTCATTAAATTTAATTAAAAAAACATTTTTATTTAAATAATTAATAAAATTTGTTCTCAGTAAAATATTAAAAATAAACATCAATTGACGTCAAATAATCTCTTTTTACGTCAAAATATTTAAAAATAAATCAATTTTTAAAGCAAATTTATATTTAAAATTTAGATGATTAAATGTTCTAATGGTTCTTTTGTACTAACTAGATTTTTTGTAACTTTTTTTTTATTACAAAGTAAAATTAATTTAATAGAAATAATGAATTAAATTTACGAAAGTAGACAATTATAAACATTTGTGGTAAATTGGTTATATAAACATCATTGTTAATGAATTAATTATGTTAATATAGTTGCCTATTTTTTCTTTTTTTATGAAAAATAAGAAAAACACGTTAAATAAATGTAAAAATTTATTAAAAATACAATAAAAACATAAATTTTAAATACTTTAAAACATTTGTGCTAAACATTTATTAGGTTATTTGGTTGGTATGCGGAAAATTAGGAAAAACTAACTGTCATACGTCACACGTCAAGTTGTTATCTTAAAACGGCTCCGTGTTGGGAGATATGTTACAGAAAATCGCCATTAATAAGATTGTCAGCAACCGAGAAAGTAGTGCGAGTTTTAATTCGTTTCGTTTATTTTAATTATGTTTATTAGTGCCAGTGAGGCATTGATTTCATTTAATAATACGGATAAAACTATATCGAGTTCTAATAATATCGAAGCCATGCCTGCGTTAATTAAAAGTTGTAATACGTAAGTACATTTTATTATTTCTTTTCTTCTTCTTCGCTTTCCCGAGAAACGTTACATTCCGCGAACGAATGACACGACGGAAATATACCCGTTTTTATAGCAAAGGTCAGTTCCCAATGGCATAATTGTTAATTTTAGAATCATTTTTGCACGTTTACAAAAGATAACCTACAAAAAAATATTTCCGCTTTGTGACGTAGAATTAAGTTTTTTTTAGTTCTTGGAAACGTTTTAAGGATTGATGTAACAACCGTAATCGTAAATCGTATTGGTTACTTTCTAAAAACTAAGGTATTTGTCCCCATTTAAAATCTTTATTTTTGACGTTTAAAACGTCATTTTAAATTGACATTTTTAATATTAGAAATGTCAAAAAAAAATTTTATCTAAAAATTGCAACATTATTTAAAATTTTTATTGTTGATAAAATCGCGGGGAATGCGAAAATGAGTTTGGACAAAGTTTTGTCTAAATCTGACAAATTTTTAATAAATTAAAAAGAAATGTATACATTCTTGGTAAGTTCTTGATGTTTTTGGAGACATTTTGACAATGTTTCTACAATTTTGTAACAAACTACTTTGTGAAATTATGAGAATTTTCAACAAATTGTTGATGATTTTTGCATGTGTCCATAAAATTCAGGAATTAATATCATAAAAGGGTTAACCTCAATGCAACCTTAATACAAGTTAACTTGAACCTAAAGGAACTTAATCAAACCCTAAATTGAGTTACTCAAACTTCAAACTAAGTGAAACAAAAGTAACGTAAGCTTAACGCAACTCAACTCATCCAATTCTAAAGCAAGTTAACCACAACGTAATCAAAAAGAACATAATCCCAAATGAATGGATCCCTAAAACAACCAGATCAAATTCCAAAATAACTCAAGCACAAAGTGAGATAACTCAGAGGAACTTAACTATAAATACAATTTGAATGCAACTCAATCTCAAAGCAAGCTTATTATAGCCGAAAGGAACTTAACTACTAATAATTCCATATCTAAGTCAAGCTAATTAAACTCCAAAGCAACTCAACCACAAAGTAAAAAAGGAAGGTAGCTTGTCCCAATGTTCACTAAACGTCACTAATTGGAATTGAAGACTAAACTGTTAAACTAACTTTAAGCTGCCTTATTATCAAAAAATTTCCTTTGGCAAACGATTAAATTCTTTTTCTTAAGAAATAGGTTGTCGACCAAAGCGTAATCGTAAACAGTTTGCATTTGCCAACATAAACAGAATTACTTGGCGAACAAATCTCAAAGCAATTCAAACACAAGATAACTTCATCTTAAAGCAAGTAAACTCATCCAACCCTAAACAACTCAAGTATGTCTACAGCGCATGTGTCGGATTAATACCAATTTTGGCCTTTTCTGTTTAAGTAAAATTAATCGTTATATTGTTATACCTTTTTTGATTAATATCATCAAAAAAAAGTTCATCTTTTTTACTTCATGATCTCTTGACTCTACTGATGCGCTTCAAAAATTCATCAATTAACCCTGTCAGAACCGAGCCAGATTTGGCAGTTGTACCTCAGGGATCAACACCGACGACGATGCGTGTTCGTGTTCTGGTCCTGTGGTATTCACAACATTCCATGTGGTATATGATCAGAAAATAGACCTTTTTTTAATAAAATTTATTAAAAGAAAATTGTCACAGTTCAGTTACCTCCTCATTTGATAGCAAAGACTGGGGTGGAAACTTACCCAAAACATTTAGAATTTGGAAATGACAAGATATTTAGGAGTTTCGTATATTTAGGATCTCTGATGAATAATAAAAATTATTACAAAGATAATCCCACAAATACTTCCATGGGCTTGCTTAGTGCTGTACAAAATTCCATTGGTTATAAAAGCAACTTTACGTCTAAGCTAAGAAAAAACAAATTAGTTCCATATAAGACCTTAATACGCGCTGTACTACTTTTGGGTCGGAAACATGGACTTTAGTGCAGAAAGACTAAAAGGCAGTAAGAAGGTTCCAGAAGAAACTGCTTAGAAGAATATATGACGCTGTCTTTTATGATCTTTTATATTACGAACAGGAGATTGTTAAATTTATAAAAGCGCAAAGGTTGATATGTTTACACATGGCCAATCCATGTAGCTAGAATAAACATAAAAAGTACCACAAGAATTATCTTCGATCGCTGTGGACCAGTGGAGAAGATCGTTTGAGAGATCAAACTGTTAAGGCAGGCCAACGTTCATAACGAGCTGTAGAGCCAAGCATGATGATGTAGATAAACCTTGATTAAGCAGTGATTGTGATAAACTACTCAAAGACTTGTAAGGGATCTTCTTGCGATAAATTGAACTTGCATTCAGAATTTGCGCCATCAAAATTATAAACAATGCTGGCGTAACATGTCGAAAATAATCGAGTTTGTTATGCAAACAGCTTAGTAAATAGGCTTTAGTCTATGAGGCACTTTTTATATTGCATATACCGAGAATTTCATATAACTCACATATGAATTCAGTTACGAAACTACTATGAATATGCACTGTCCCATATAAAATCCAACATACCTTAATTAATATAGGCATTGAATAGTTTTGCTGAGAAAAAGGAAATGTTTTGCTCGGAATAATATGACATCCTTATGATAACCCTCAGTTGTCGGCCTCGAGAGATACCGCCGCTATCTTGGAACGATGGCGCCTCAAATCATAAAGGGAATATATCCGTTCTTAGTGGTTCTACGAAAAAAAAGTTAAATAATAAACTGAAGAAAATGAAATTCTGCATAATATAATTTTTCATCGGATTAACCGTTGTATTAATTAAATTATTGTATAATTGAAATTTCTAATAAATATCCTTTATTTTTACAATAAATTTTCAAATATTTGATATACAGGGTGTCAGATAAAAAACGCCCCAAACTGTAATTCTGTCATTTACATTCCGATTTTCATGAGCGAGGTATCAAATGAAATGGTTTAATGAATACTATGATTCATGCTATAAATAAATTTTACCAACGCCATTTCAATTTTAAGCGATTATTAGCTTTTGTTTTTCAAATTGCTCCATATATTTTTCTTCACGTTATTGGATAGAGATTTTTTTGTGAACCCATTGCTGTACAATACATTAACATTAATTGTAATTGTAGCAGAGAAAAACAATTAAAACATTTTCCGAATTTTGTCTTAATCACTTCTGTAATACTGTAGTGTGTCATGGAAAAAAATAACGCGCAAAACTGATAATAGTCATTAAATGATATTTCAATGCCTGAAGCAGTTGTAAATGATTATTTTTTCCCATGGTACACTACAGTATAATACAAGTGATTTTAAGAGAATGTTCGGAAACTATTTTAATGTTTTTCTCTACTACAATTACAATTAATGTTGATGTATTGTACGGGTGGGCAAATTTGGGTGTTATTATAGGCTATCTCAGAAACTATGAGAGATACGAAAAAAGTAGGTGCCATGTCCCGGTCTCTTTTTTCGAGACTAATCCAATCCCGCAAACACCAAACCTCTATCTTCTTTTGTTTTTAAGTTATAGCCAAAAAGTCAAATTTTCGTGATTTCAAAAAATGCTCATATTTCGTTTATTTTTGAAATTTGATAAATGGGGTTGATACGTTCTTAAGGCACTTTTTTAAGTAGAATATACTGCCGTTGAAAAATTTTAAAAATATTTAATGATTTTTGAAATACAATACAAGTTGTATTTTTTTAAATACAAACTATAGTAGATTATGGTGTTACTGAAAAGAGCACATTTTTAGCTTTCCAATAATGTATTGCACGCATGGTGTATTTGGGGAAAATAAGCGTTAATTTTCAATTTCAAAATAGTAAGAGCCAAATTATTCAAAATTTTGATTATAGTCGGCGGGTCCGGACAATAAATACTATCTACTTAGTAGCACTTATTTAAATGAATAAATCATCGTTTTGGGCCATTTAAGCCTTTTATTCCGATTACAATTTTTAAACGATGTACCTGGAGCAAACCCTAGCGAAACTTATCTACTTAGTGGCTATAATATGACAGAATAAAGGTGATTTTGTACTATTATTCAGGATAAAGTTGGTTTTGTACCAACGAAAAAAGAGACAAAAAAGAGACCGGGACATG